TTACGTTTAAAAGAGAAGTAGAGCATAAAAGTTTGGAAAATTTGTAGCCTGATGATGTGATAGAAAAGAAAAACCCATTTTCTGGGGAGAAATTTAAGCTGGCTATAGAAATTTGCATGAGTAACGAGAAGCCAAACATTAATAGCCAAGACAATTGGGAAAATATCTCCAGGGCATGTCAGAGACCTTTGAGGCAGCCCCTCCCATCACAGACCTGGAAGCCTAGGAGGAAAAAATGGTTTCGTGGGCCAGGCCCCTGGCTCTGCTGCTTTGTGCAGCCTTGGAATTTGGTGCCCTGCATCCCAGCAGCTCCAGCTCCAGTTGGCACTAAAAGGGGCCAAGGAACAGCTCGGACCATAGTTTTAGAAGCTGCCAATCCTCGGCAGCTTTCACATGGTATTGGGCCTGTGGGTACACAGAATTCAAGAATTAAGGTTTGGGAACCTAAACCTAGAGTTCAGAGGATGTATGAAAATGCCCGGATGTCCAGGTAGAAGTCTGCTGCAGGGGTAGAGCCTTCCTAGAGAACCGCTGCTAGGGCAGGATGGAAGGGAAATGTGGGGTTGGAGCCCACACACAGATCCCCACTGTGGCACTGCCTAGTGGAGCTGTGAGAAGACAGCCAACATCCTCCAGACCCCAGAATGGTAGATCCACTGACAGCTTGCACCATGTGCCTGGAAAAGCTGCAGACACTCAATGTTAGCCCATGAAAGCCGCCAGGAGGCGGGTGGTACTCTGCAAAGCCACAGGAGCGGACCTGCCCAATGCCATGGGAACCCAGTTTTTGCATCAGCGTGACCTGGATGTGAGACATGGAGTAAAAAGAGATCATTTGGGGGCTTTAAAATGTAATGATTGCCCCACTGGGTCTTGGACTTGCATGGGGTCTGTGGTCCCTTTGTTTTGGTCAATGTCTCCCATTTGGAATGAGAACATTTATCCAATGTCTGTAACCCCACTGTATCTCGGAAGTAACTAACTTGCTTTTGATTTTACAGGCTTCTAAGTGGTAGGGACTTGCCTTGTCTCACATGAAACTTTGGACTTATACTTTTAGATTAGTGCTGAAATGAGTTAAGTCTCTGGGGACTGCTGGGGAGGCATGATTGGTTTTGAATGTGAAAGACATTAGATTTGGGAGGGACCAGGAGCAGAATGATATGGTTTGGCTCTGCGTCCCTGCCCAAATATCATCTCAAATTGTAATCTCAATGTGTCAAGGAAGTGATCTGTATTCCCCATGTGTTGAGAATAGGAAGTGACTGGATCATGGAGGCAGATTTCCTCATGCTGTTCTGGTGATAGTGAGTGAGTTGTTATGAGATCTGATGGTTTTATAAGCCTTTGACAGTTCCTCCTTCAAATACTTGCTCTCTCTCACCTGCTTCCATGTAAGATGTGCCTGCTTTCCCTTCCACAATGATTGTAAGTTTTTGAGGCTTCCCAAGCCATGCAGAATTGTGAGTCAATTAAATCTCTTTCCTTCATAAATTACCCAGCCTTGGGCAGTTCTTTATAGCAGTGTGAGAATAGACTAATACAACCTGTGATGGAGCAATCCTCATCCTGTGTATATTTCTAAGACAAAGGAGTGCACATATCTCTCAGAATTGTGTCCAACAGTGCTCATAGCAGCACTCTTTGCAATTGCCAAAATCAGGAACAAATTAAATATTTATCTCCATTAAAATGGATGAAACATTTGTGTTATATTTACGCAAGATAATATTCTACAGCAATGAAGATCAACAAACTAAATCACATGCAACAATATGAAGGAATGTTGACCCTCACAACATAATAGTAAGTGAAAGAAGCCAGACAAAAAGAGTTAAATACATAACAGTTCAGAAACAGAAAAAACTAATCTATGATGTTTGAAATCAGGATAGGGGTTACCCACTGGATTGTGAGAATAATGACTGGGTCCAGAACTTCTTGCACAGTGGACTTGTCAGGGAGAGTTGGTAGTAATCTGCTATTGATAGCAACAGGAGACATACAAATTCCTAGGCAGGCAGGGACAGGTCCCTGGTGAAAACTGACCTTCAAGTCAAAGGCAGTTTAAAGCCTGAAAACTGAGCTGTCAGTTCTGGGTAGAGTCCATGATGGAAGTGAGAACTTCCTCAATATCTTTTAACCAAGCAGTTGGTGCTTTTCCCAATTCACCCATGGACCAATCAGCATGCACTCCCTCATTCAAAACCCATAAAATCCCAGGACTCAGTCTCACAGAGGCCTACCTACCTTCAGGTCCCCAGTCACAAACTGAGCTACCTGTTCTTTGGTCCCCTCTCCTCTGAGAGCTTTTCTCTGTCACTCAATAAAATTTTTCTTTGCCCTACTCACTATCCAGTGTCTGTGTGCCTTATTCTTTTTGGCCATGGGAACTCGCCAAGCTGTGTGTGGCAGGAACAAGAGAGAGGTGTAACATTTGTTGATACTCAGATCTCAGGACACCCTGTGTGAGAGCTGTAACACTCCTTGGGGCTCCACAGTTGTTGGCATCTCCAAGTTTTCAGATACCACCACATTACCCTTGTCTAGACACCAATGCCCAATGTGGAAGCTGCTTGTGGCATGCCTGGTCCAGCCACAGGCTGGGTGCAGATCCTGTGGTGGGTGTGGGATCCAGGCCAGGGCATGAGTTGAGTTCAGTCTGCTGAGCTGAGTGGACAGAGTGAGCCTAGCAGGCTGGAGCACAGCCCCAGGCAGAGGTCATGGCAGCCAGAGATTTCAAGCTGGAGAAGCGGCACTGGAGGAATCCTCTAACACAGCAACCCTCCTTCCTGCTTGCCAAGCAATGGGGGAGAAAAAAAGCTGCCGGGTGCCATTGCCTCTTGCTCACCAAACTTCAAAAACTGCAACACTATTTCTTAACATAATATTGATTGTATAGGTATATTCACATTGTAATAATCTATCTAGCTATAAACTTGTAATTTTCTACATACACTTCAACATTAACATTATTGAAAAAAATATTAATAGACCTGTGTCAAGAACATATAGAAATTAGCTTAAGAAGTCTCTATTGATCAAAAATTTAATAATTTGAGTATCAAAACAATAATGATTAGAGTGGAGGAAACATTGAATTAAAGAAAATCTATAATTCTATAATCATACTCAGAAATGGAAAACTACTAAAAAATTGTACACATAACTCTTTAAGAGAGTGACCATATGGCCTTGCTTTCTGAGGAACATCCTGACTTCATGATTAATGGCACTCACTTTTGTTCTCAAAAGTCTACCAATTTGGAAAATAAATTATATATCATATCACTAACAAACAAGCTTCTCAGTTTGTATTAGTAAATTGGTGAATACAGGGGAAGAACTGGGTATTCATCCTACCCTTTCAGGCTAACTTGAACAGACTCCAATGAAGGGGCAAAGGCTTATTTTACAGAAGAATTTCTATGAAAGATGCAGATGCAATAAGTTCTTTTTCTACAAAAGTTTATGAAAGCATTAGCTCAGTTAAGAATTATCAGTTGTTAAAACTATCATGTATATGGTTGATGAGTAATATGGTATTCCCATAGTTTCACAATAACACTACACTAATTACTTGTTTTTATTAATGAAATACATATATGTATTTCTTCACTATGGATTAATGTATGAATATATAAAATACTGCCATTTGGAATGGCAGACCCACTGACAGCCTGCATCCATGCATCTAGAAAAGCTGCAGACCCTCAGTGCTACCCTGGATATATAAACTCCACTTATTAATCCATATTAAATCCATATATTATATATCCATATATTTATATATATGTATTTATATAGATTCCATATATATATGTATATTCTCTGTGTGTGTATATATACATACATACACGCACAGAAAAATTGAGGGGTCAGCTAACCAACTTGCTAATCCAGTAAACAATGTTGGCATTTAAACTAAGAATAAACCAACCATGTATTAGGTCTCCAGGTATACTGTCATGTCATCTATGGTGTATTCTACAAACTATTTAGCTTGATTCCTTCTAGTCTTTAGATTTAAACTCCAATTACTGAAAATAGAAGGCATTGAAAAATTAAGCTAAATGACATCCCCAGTCAAATCCAGAAGGTGGAACAAAGTGTATAAAAACTGGTCCTATTGTTTTAACAAGTCAAAGTCAGTGGGAAAAAAATGTAACTTGATTAAGACAGACTTAAGGGACATAACAAAATGAAAGGCAAATCCTTATTTGGACAAAGTAGCTGTGTAGAATATTTTTAAGTGTTTGAGGAAATTTAAACATAGACTAGGTATTAGATATGAAATGTATTGTTATCATAAATCAGAGGTAGTTAAATAAGAAAAAAAGTAAATATAAAGCAACATATGAAATGATCTCTTCAAAAAGAGATACATATTTATATGAATGTCTTTATGGGTATGTGCATAAATGGAGAATATCTGGGAAGCTGTGTAGAGATTCAATAAATTTTAGGAGTAGTGATGTCCCAGGTAGAGAGAATATGGTGATAATTTTGCCTTGGTATTTAAATAAGATATATTTTTGAATCTTTGTGTGCTTTACACAAAGATTTTACAATGCACATATATTGATTTTACCATAAGGAAAAGTTAATTTTAATTTAAAAAGTTGATCTTAGAAAGAAAGTAGTTAATAAAGGGGTGGATAAGTAGCATTGTCCAATTTTTAAATTTTTTTTCTTTTCTTGTATTGCAATTAATAGGCATGCCTAACTTGTAGTACCCAGTATTTAGTGAGCTATTTTAATATTTCAGTCTAATAATCTTACTTGCATTGCTTTTGGATTATATCACTTTTTTCTTTCTTGCCATGTTACGTCACAACCTGTCAATTATTACAGCTTCATCAGTTAGTATTTGCTTTGTTGTTCACTAGTTGCCATACAAAGCATAGTCTTCTTTATGCTTTATTTTGGGATATGTCATTAAATTACAATGAATTAGAAATGAATGTTTCAAATGAATTAAAAAAAAATCTTGACATTCCTCCCCTTACATACAAAATGTTTTAATTGAGAAAAAATTCAAAACAGTCACACATATCAATTATCATCATGGTTTTCTGAAATATTTTCTTATACAAATGAAATATTTAAAATGAAAAAAATTACATTTTAAAAATCTAATTAACTAATTATTTTTGTCCTGCCTTTCCCCACAAGGATTTCAAAAGACTTATTGGAATATATAAAGCATGACAGAAAATAGAGTATAAAATAAAAATGGGAATAAATGTTAAAAACAAATATTGAGGGAAAAATGCAAAAATTAATTTTAAAATGCATAGAATAATGATCAAATAACTAGTGAATATGATTTACAAATATTTTTAATGTCAATTACACAGTTAATAATAAAAATGAGATAAAGTTAAATCAATTGCTGTTAATTCTCCAACTAGATTGGAACTGCTTTGGAGAATACTGTTAAAGACACTGTGGGAAGCAATAAACAACAATCTCGGAATGCTAATCCATGTAGTAGGAATCATAATCTCACTTTCACATCATTCTTTGTTCTTTAAATTTGAAACACTTATTTCAAGGTCTTTATAAATTCACAACTTAATTTCTTTTTTTTCAGAGAACTAATTTCTGGGTGGGTGAGTTGATATTCTTTTCAGGCATTGCAAGGGTACCTTAAGGGTACTAATGTTATTAACGTGAATGACAAGTAATTAGAAAACTGGAGATTAAATTTTACAAACATTTTAAAAAATGCTACAATTAAAAAAATTCAACATGATTACATTACGAATGTGAATGAAATTTCATTAGCGACTTCTTTAAATGTATACGTAATTCTATATTTTCCCCAAAACCCACATTTTATGAGGAATATTTATTTATTTATTTATTTTTATTTTTATTTTTATTTTTTTTAGACGGAGTCTCGCTCTGTCGCCCAGGCTGGAGTGTAGTGGCGCGATCTCGGCTCACTACAAGCTCTGCGTCCCGGGTTCCCGCCATTCTCCTGCCTCAGCCTCCCGAGTAGCTGGGACTACAGGTGCCCGCCACCACGCCTGGCTAATTTTTTGTATTTTTTTAGTAGAGACGGGGTTTCACCGTGTAGCCAGGATGGTCTCGGTCTCTTGACATCGTGATCCACCCGCCTCGGCCTCCCGAAGTGCGGAGATTACAGGCGTGAATTACAGTGCCCCACCAGAACATTGATTTTTTTTTAGTAGAGTCGTGAACCTTTATTTATTTAAATCAACATATATTTGTTGAATTTTGCCATATGTCTAATACGTTGCTTGGTGCTGATGATTCAGTGGTGTGTGGGCACTTGAATTGGTGAATTCTAACATAGTACATTACAATAGTATTTGGATGTTTAATCAATAAATGAGTAAATTCTCTGGTTGAGCTATTACTTCTGCAGTCTAATAATTTGGCAATATATCAGCAAAGCTAGAATAGCAGTGAAATAATACACAGATCCCTTATGCTGTTAGTGAGGTGGAAAGTCACCACGAGCTCCAGTATCAATTCAGCATTTGCCTTTGACATTTGGAGGCGGGGGGCAGATCTTGTCTTTAACTCTCACCAGTGGCTGCTATGCCAAGTTGTTATTTTCTTTTTCTGTTTTAATACAATCAGAGTAATGGTAGGCATTGATATACTAATATGAATATAAAAGAATAATCTTCCTCAAAGTTATCAAATAATTCACCCACTTGTTAAAAGTACAAAAAGTGAACCAAAAGCTAGGGAGAAAAGCAAGTTTGTCCATCTTTTCAAAGGTTAGGGTTCCTGGCCTCTTTTAAGATTGCTTCCTATTTAAGCATTATTTCATTTAATAGTACCATGTTATAATCTCTAATAGCTATATAGAAATCACAAACAAACATTTCTACATTCTAGAAGACTTATCTTAAAATATAGGGAAAGTGTGTGCGTAAGGAAGAAGGTTAGTAGAGAGAACGAGGGAAAAATATGACAGTAATAGAAAGGAAAAGTATAGGAGAGTCAAACATTTTGATTAAGCTAGCAATTAATTTAGTTCAATACGAATTCTAAATAACTGTTTCTGGATTGACTTACTATTTTATCAATGTAACCATACTGATTAATTAAATCATATGTAAGCACAGACTGAGATGTGCATTTTACACCCTTGTGTCTACAGCATACATTTTGGCAGTCTCAGTTCGAGCGGCTGAGTATGACTTGGTCATGGAAACACCTGCAACTGAATAGGCTTTCCTCAAGGAATAAGAATAGTTTCTCCCAGGTCCAACACCTGTTTGAAAGAGATATAAAAATAAGTAGGACTCAGTGAACTTGGGAAAATTATAAAACACCATTGTATATGTTTTTCCTCAAAAGGAGCAAGAATATAGATAGTCAAAGAAGGTATCATTTTGGAACTCTAAGAAGAATCCTAGGAGACAATTTAAGATTTTCATTCTGAAAGTTACTTTTAGGTTTAAAATTCAGCCAAGTAGATTTTCTTTTATTTTTTTCTTCATCAGGAGAGGTATTCCCTTAGTTTTTTAGGTGATATTTTTAGAAACCCAACATAACACGTTAAATTTTTTAAAAAGAAATATTTGGCTGGATCTTAGTCCACTTCTCCGTTTAACACTAAACATACCTTAGGTTGAGTGGGTGAAGATATATATGTATGTATAACTGTAATACAGCAAAATATATATACATATATATACATGTTTATATATAAAATTCACAACTACAACCATGTCCAATATTCAAATGCATAATAGTTATTTTAATGTATTACAATTAGATGTATATATACCTATATATGCAATTATAAAGGTATAATTGTATATATGTATATACACATATATGTATAATTCTAATATACATATATGTGTATATACATATATATACAATATATATTCATATATATGTATGAATACATACTTATATGTATTCCTACCTGTTACCATTAAAAATTCCAATTATTAAAAATTCCAATTGTTCAAGGGCAACTGAATTGTAATACTCAAACATTATTACCCTGTTAGTGTTATATTAATTGAAAAATAAAATCCACAATTATGACCATATCTAATATTCAAATGTATAATATTTTGATGTATTACAATTATACATATAGTATATATGTATATGTATATATACTATATGTGTATGTATACATATATGTATACATATACAAATATGTATATAATTGCAATATGTATACATATATACATATATGTATATAAGTATAATTGTAATATGTATACATATATGTATATAAGTATAATTGTAATATGTATACATATATGCATATACGTGTATATATGTGTATATATGTATATACGTATAATCATAATACATAAGATAACTATTAGACATTTGAATATTGGACATGCTTGTAGTTGTGGATTTTATTTTTCAATTAATATAACACTAACTGGGTAATATATTTTTCAATTAATATAGCACTAACTGGGTAAAACATACATTTTTCAATTAATATAGCACTAACTGGGTAATAAAGTTTGAGTATTACAATTCAGTTGTCCTTGAACAATTGGAATTTTTAAGGTAATACGTAGGAATTCAAATAAATAGCATTTTTTTTTCCTTGTGAAATGTGTTTCCACTGGATTGCGAAAAATGATAGTGGAGGCAAGGAAGTTTGCTATTTTATTTTATTCTTACCTTTAAAAAGGTATAAGCAGCAGGTGAGAACGGCTCCAGCCAAAAAGCAACCCAGAGACCCAGCCATTCCTAGCCAACAGGACCAACCAAATTTATATTGGATACCAAGAAATATATTGTGCAAAATCAGAGTAGAACGTTCCACATAGACATCAACAGCATACCACACAGAGCCAATGATTCCTGGGGTGCCTGAAAGAAAGGGAGGATGCTACAAATAATAGGGGACATTTTCTGAATTTAAATCCCAAAATACCTGTTTACTACCCAAAATGGCTGGCGTCATTCAGAGAGGTAAAAACAGAAACAGGGATTCATGGGCGAACCAAAGTTTGGACACTTCTTCTGTCTCTTCCTTTTGCTTTCCATCTTGTATCTTTTTAAAATTTTATCTCAGTTTATACATAAAGAAAATACAAAAACGAAATAACGCAGTGCTCATCGGTTTGTGTAAACGGAAATTCGTCGTTATGGTTTTCTTTGATTTTCCTGTCTTTCCAATGCCATGTTAGTATTGTATAAATGAAAATATTAGAAACAAAACCAAACAAAACAGAAAAAGAATATAGTCTAACAAAAACAACATAGAGCATATGTTCATTCCATACTGATTTTTTAATTGTCAGTAAATACCATTGAGTATTTAATGCTCCCTCTACCCACTTTTGAAGCTATGCCAGCTACGTAATCAGCACCCACGTGAAAACTGTTTTTAAAGTCACTGATTTCAGTGTCTTTAAGTCAAAAACAAATAATTGAAGTAAAAATTGTTTTTATTTTCAAATAAACCTTTATCTAATACCCCCACACCATATAAGAATGGATCAAGAAATGTTATTCCCTTTGAATACATCTCCACAGATTAGCCTCTCTAACAATTAACTGGTTTGAAATGACGCCACTAGAGTCCTGGTATTTTAAAGGTATAAATTGCATGTCGAAGCCTGGATGCAATAAAGAAATGTGGTGAGCTGGAGGACAAAACACTGTATTAAAAGAGTGTTTTTGAAATATGTAGTCCCACACGCTCAATGTCTAGCAGAAGGCAATTAGAAGAAATCAGTAATTTATAGATTGTCTAAGTCTGCTTGAGTTGGATTTTCAGTTATTTACTTCTAAATGTGTGCTTATACTGATATCCTGAAGCTATATCAACATTAGTGTTAAGATCAAGATCTTGCCCACCAATACCCAAATAACTGGATCCTGCTTTTCCTTCATTTCAAAGTTCTGCTACTCTGTGCTAAATTAGATGCATGTCTTCACAAAGAATCTCTTCAGATTACTTTCCAGAGTTGTTTTACTGTCTAATGAAATAAATATTTGTTTTTCCCAAATCTAAAAAATAAAATATGTAGTCTCCAAAAAATTTTACATTTTTTTTCCCCTAGAGAGTCTGTGATATCTATTTAAATCACTATTTAACTGTATTCTTCTCTTAATTGTTTAACGTAAGAACTTTAAGAAAGATCAGATAGGCCGGGCGCGGTGGCTTACGCCTGTAATCCTAGCACTTTGGGAGGCCGAGGCGGGTGGATCATGAGGACAAGAAATAGAGACCATCCTGGCCAACATAGTGAAACCCCGTGTCTACTATAAATACAAAAAGTAGCCGGGCAAGGTGGCGGGCGCCTGTAGTCCCAGCTACTCGGGAGGCTGAGGCAGGAGAATGGCGTGAACTCGGGAGGCGGAGCTTGTAGTGAGCCGAGATCACGCCACTGCACTCCAGCCTGGGTGACAGAGCGACACTCCGTCTCAAAAAAAAAAAAAAAAAAAAGATAATAAACACATAACCTTTAGAAAATGCAGTATATATTGCAATAGCGTTTCTATAATACCATCGTCTGCAGTTTTCAGGTAGAAATTCTTTTTCTAAAACTTCAAAAGAGAGTATAGACTTTAAAAAATAAATTTTATAGCACACTAATTCTAAATAATGTTTCCAAAGCTTAGGACATGCTTTGTCTTTCAATTTAGTTATTTCTTCAGTCATTCCTATCAGGATTTTCTTCAATGACTTATTTTTTAAAAGTTACTTGTTTTGTTGTTTTGCATAAGATGGGTTATTTACTGATGATACCTCAAAAATATTCTGGAACAAAATTGCATAGCTGTAAATAATTAAATAATATTTAAATCTTAAATGAAATACATTGTATATTAAAAAGTTCAATGCTGTCAGTAAGTGGGATATTGAAATAAATGACTTACAGAAGGGAAGAATTCTAAATTTTTGTAACTTTTTATAATACAATCTGAGGATTATTAGGATGTTGACTTAACATTTCTGTGTCAAAAATCAGGGAGGCCCAAGTTTTAAGCATATAAAGGGTTAGGCAGTCAGCTAAGAGTTTGCTGTGCCCACATTGCATCTTCACATAGCAATTCAGGGTACATGTTACTACCTTAGCTTCATGCTCCTTTGCAGATTAGGAAACAGAGACATGGGTGAAGATACCACACATACATATCTCCAAGTGTTTTTAGTTCCAAACTCCGTATCGATTTACTACCCCACACTGCCCGGTCAGGCTCCCACTTATATTCGCTTTGTTAGCAGAGAAGATTTTTCCTGCTAACAGACAAGAAAGACACTATGTTGTAAAAGAAGAGGACTGGCTGGGCGCGGTGGCTCACGCCTGTAATCCCAGCAATTTGGGAGGCCGAGGTGGACGGATCACCTGAGGTCGGGAGTTCGAGACCAGCCTGACCAACATGGAGAAACCCTATCTCTACTAAAAATACAAAATTGGCCAGGCATGGTGGCACATGCCTATAATTCCAGCTACTAGGGAGGCTGAGGCAGGAGAATCACTTGAACCTGGGAGGCGGAGGTTGCAGTGAGCCATGATTGTGCCATTGCCCTCCAGCCTGGGCAACAAGAGTGAAACTCTGTCTAAAAAAAAAGAAGAGGACTAAGCTTTGAAGTTGAAGACAGACCTGAATAAAGTATGATTTTGCTGTTTCCCTAATAAATACTATTTAAAGTGCTTTTTGATGTGTTGTTTATTAGTCAAGCGTGACTAATAAATATGCTTGGGTAGTCTTCAGAACTTCAATTCTTTAGCTGTGTCATAAGTGGGGTAACAATATGATCTGTTTATTGTTACATTTATGAACAAATGGGTTAGCACATGGGACAACATAGGACTTGGCACAATTGTTAGTTTATTGTTAAAAAGAGTTGGTGGAGTTGGTGGAGGTGGGTACAGTAAGGAGGTAGAAGTTTGGGGTTTACTTTGGGATTTTAACTTTAGTAATAATCACAAGATAAATTATTTTAAAACTTGAAGTTATGTAACTTTTTAAATGGCTAAAACATACTTTTAGAGCTTTTTTTTTTCTTTCTTTCTTTCTTTTTACCCCTGAGATGAAGTCTTGCTCTGTTACCCAGACTGGAGTGCAGTGGCGCGATCTCTGCTCACTGCAACCTCCACCTCCTGGGTTCAAGCAATTCTCCTGCCTCAGTCCCCCGAGTAGGTGGGACTACAGGCGTGCACCACCATGCCTAGATTTGTATTTTTAGTGGAGATGGGGTTTGACCATATTGGCCAGTTGGTTTCGAACTCCTGGCCTCAAGTGATCTATTTGCCTTGGCCTCCCAAAGTGGTGGGATTACAGGCATGAGCTATAACACCCGGCCTGAGAGCTTCATATTTTGTTCTGAGATATTAACAAAAGACTAATTACCTGACTTCAAAGCTAAAGTAAGCAGGACTGGTAGATGTGATCTTTAGTTTTTCAATCTAGAAAAGGAAGCCACATATAATCCGAAAATAAGCAGCTTCACCACAATACTCTCCTTCACCTCAAGTCCTTAGCAGAGTCTCCCTACCCCAGTTGCTAGTCCAGCCAGACCAGTACCTGCTATTAGTAATGTGGTTCCAGCAACAAAGCAGATGCGGACTTTAATGTACGGCTCATCAGGGAGGAATTTCACGCAGTCAAGACCAAGGAGCAGGGTGAGAAATCCAAACCCAGCTAGAATATCTGCAGTAATCATCAGCGCTCGAGTTACCACCAGCTTCACTGGAAGACCAGGGCATATGGTTAAAGCAGAGTCAGAGGAAGGAACTATATTAACTCACAGAGATATAGCAAGAAAACCAGACAAGTAGGTAACATTAACACACCCCACTGGCAAAAGTCAGACTTCGTATGAACTTAAACATGAGTACTCCTAATGTTTAAAACTAAAAAAATGAGATTATTGACATCATTAATTGTTTTACCACAGTTTACTACTTAGTTTTGTTGGTATACTAGCAGATAGCATCCTGGTAGACAGTGGGGACTAAAGAAATGTTTTCCTTTTTGCCTCCTGCCCTGGAAAATGTCTCATTCACAAATATTGTAGCCAATTGCTGAATCGAGGATAGCATATCTGTTCTACAAAAATTTCTTAATAAATATTGAATAAATAAATAATCACTATAATTGTTTAAAATTTTATTTAAAAATAATAATTGGTTAAAATTTGACCCAGGAAGCAGAATAAAATATTTCAAGACTTCTTTGTGTCAATTCAGGACAGAAGAAGCCATCAGGAGATCTTTAGAAGAAGGAGAGTTAGTTGGTGCTATTAAGTAGAAGATAATTTCTGGAAATTAGATCATTTTCTCTTTCAGCTATTTAAATCATGACTCTTCTTGGCCAATATTACCTATTAAGCCTTCAACCTTGCACTGTCAAATGACCATATTTTAAAGCTACAGACAATAAGAATAAGAATGTATGGTAGACAGTCCAGGAAAGAAAAGATCAGGAAGATGAAAGTGGAATAGTAGCAATCATCTTCTGTAGCAGAAGCATCTTCGACTGTGAAAGCCTCCAGAACTCTGAGTTATTGTTATGCTGAGCTCAACTTACGGAAATCATATCTCAAATAGAAGGTTAATCAACTGAAATCAGAACTACTACTATTCTAGCTGGCTGATGGATAAGAGTAATGAAATGTATTCCTTTTATAGTACAGCAATTATGTTTTATTTTCATATTGATCTGGGGTTTCCTTGTATTTTAAATAATTTTTACCCAATGGTAGGTAACCTTAGGATTTATTTGGAAACATGTTGCTTGCAAATATGCAGACAATATTCCTGAACTTAAAATAAAAAAATTATGACTCATCTGAGAGAGAAAATCAATGCATAAAATCAGTCCCAACCTCATTATTAGGTAAACATACTATTTATAATTATCTTAATATATATGAATATTTGTCTCTAACACAGAATTCATAAGATCTCAAAATTTAACATTATTTCAGAAAATTTAAATGTTTCAAATCTAAGACTCATTTTTCTCAAAATTGAGGAAAGAGAAAAATATGTAACCTATTAGATAATACCACTATTTCAACATATCTTCTTGATCACTAAATAGCATATACAAGCAGGCCTCCTACCCAGGGCTCTAAACAAAAGGTTCTCGTCCTTTGGATGGCCTCCCTTGAAATTTTCCAAGTACTCTTTGGAAACCTGGGACTACCTGGGGCCAGCTATACCATCAGGACAGGGTGGTCTGAACTCATCCAAACTCTCATGGGCCTAGATCTCCTTCCCTTCGGAACACTCCAACTCCTATCCTACATGTAGGGTCTCTGAAGAGCCGATGGGGTGGACCAGGGGCCCCATGGCCAGCCTGGATCCAGGAGGGGATTCCTGAAAGCAGATAGGTCATGCTGGCCAGTAAGAAATTTCTTTTTCTGGAATCATGTGAGATTTGACTGTCAGAATGCTGTTAATATGCTGATTTGTGGGGACTCAAATTATCCGTATCAACTGGAGCCATGACAAACATATTTGTCTGGATTAAACACCCTAAGTATCCAGGACAGTGGAAAGAGTTATCTAATTGTAGTTGTATGAAAGATAGCAAAAAATAAAAATAAAATCCTACTTCCTTATATGTAACATCCTAACCAAGAGGGCATAGATATGTCATTTTCCTAGAGTCCATTTTCATCTCTGCTGTCTTTAAAGAAGATGGAATTTTTTAAAGAAAGGTAATGGGCCTTTAGTGTCTTATTTGAAAGTAATAGGTTAAAAAAGGGAAAAATGTGACGGCATAGGTCAAAGATGAAAAAGGAACATATTAAAATATAAATGGTGGTTTTCTCTGTGTAGTGAGCTTAGGAGTGATTATATTTTCTTCTTGTACAAATGCATATAACAGTATTTAAAAGTTTGAAATACTTAATCTTTCATTTTCTTCTCAGCTTATGAATTAAAATCCACTTTAATGAATTTTTAGAATAGGCTAAATGTTCATTCCTATTCAGCAAATAGTGTTTCTTTGTAGGTAGAACTAGGTTCACACAGAGGGGAAAAGAAAAGGAATTAAGAGAATCTTTTTTAACAAAAATAAAACAAAGGCCTTATGAACTATGTTTTAAAAAATGTTCAAGGCACCCAACTTTTAAATAGCAGATGAAGAATTTTAGAGCACTGCTCCTTTTAAGTGCTTTCCTCTGGACTGAAATAGCAGTTCAGGGGCAAAGTCACATTCCAAGGGTTTAACTTTTTATTTATCTCGAGAAGAGAAGTTGCTTTATGGTGCCATCACCCATCATTTGCTTTGAAAGAGACTAAAACCACGTTGCTTTTGTAACAGAACAGGTATTTCTTAGATGAGTTTAATGTTCTTATAAATAAATAAACACCATGGAGAGGACTGAGAGAATCAACAGTAAGATTTTTAAATTTAAGAGATTTCTTTATTCATAGCAACATGGGCTCTGCTAACATGTAACTATTTGTTTGTTTGTTTATTTATTTATTATTTTATTTTTGAGATGGAGTCTTGCTGTGTCTCCCAGGCTGGAGTGCAGTGGTGCAATCGTAGCTCACTGCAACCACTGCCTTCCGGGTCCAAGTGATTCTCCTACCTCAGCCTTCTGAGTAGCTGGAACTACAGGCTCCTACCACCATGACCAGTTAATTGTTTTTTCTTTTTTTTTTTTTTTTTGGTATTTTTAGTAGGGATGGGGTTTCACCATGTTGGCCAGGCTGCTTTAGAACTCCTAACCTCAAGTGATCCCTTGCCTTGGCCTCCCAAAGTGCTAGGATTACAGGTGTGAGCCACTGCATCTGGCCTTAACTATAACTTAAAGTTAAAAGTAGGGAAGCTAAGGGAGCCAGCTTTAATATTGCCTGTAACAGTGTGTTACATGTGTTGGTTTTTTCTTACACTGATCCCCACAGTCTACATCTTTGTCTCTGGCTGTCTACCTCTTTCTGCCTCTGCCACTGTATCTTCACCTGTCTTTCTTAGCAAACCTTCAATTGAAATAACTGTAAACTTTCTATTTGAACTAAGTCATAGCTTAAAACGTCTCTGAAATGCTTTCCACTTAATCTATCCAGTCTAATCATGAAATTACAGCACCCTAAAGAATTCATCTTGATTAAAAAGCCATTTACTGTAAGCCTACTGTGTATGAGGCACTATGCCTGGCCCTTTATTTTTCCCTCAAGGAATTTACAAATATATGAGAAAAGAGAAAATGTGCTAAAGTATATATTTAAATTCACATTTCCCAGACAAGCTCAATTTCTAACCATTTCAAACTGGACCAAGCCTTAACAATGTACAATAGAAAACAAAGCACAAAATGGAAACCCGAACTCAGTTTTCTGTCCCTTTCCATTCCTGGCAAGCAGTGAGATCTAAGTCATACGTACAGGGATGTTCCGCAAGTATGGAATCGTACTCATCGCAGGTGCGAATTCCATCAAAAGCATTGGTGACGCATTCCCACCAGAGGCCTCGGCATTTTGTGCTCACCTAGATGTCAGAGAAGACACCATGTGAAACAACTCATGCAGGCACACTTCAGTCCTCCTTGATCAAAGGGAGAAGTTGGCTATTGTGTTTGATAGTAAAGTAAGTGGTTACATGCGTGATCAGAGTTTCATTTACAACAAACAATGCATTTTAGAATTTTTTCCCTTAAGCACTAACAATTGAAGCCTTTCTGGGTCAGGAAATGAATCCACTTCCTCAGGTAGGGTGGGGGTAGAGAAATAAGTCATGTCCAGAAGAGATAAAAACAGAACTAAATATATTTAAATATCTATGTCTGCTTCCACCATTGAGTTATGGTTATGGAAAAACATCATTTCATGTCTCTGTGCTGACATTTACTCACACACACACAAAAAACCATACGACAAGAGATGATAACTGTTGACACCTTGAGTCTATTAGAAATATATATTGCTTCTTTATCATGAATACTGAGTTCCATGAAGAAAAATATTATCCTTATATATGAAGTTTATAAATGTAAAATAATTAGCAAAGAAAACCAATAAATGAAAAGATGCCAATAAATAAAATATATAAAGGCCCCAAGTTTTATTTCTTGCTCCAATGATATATTATAAATGCTTAAGCTATGTAATGGATGTAAGCAAATTGAGCATTAATTTCGTACCACTTGACAACTGTGAACCATTTTTACTTGGAAATGATGTGCAGATGACTCTAAGCATCCACTTAGAGCTAAAAGGTACCAGTGCCCTGAACCTTCTCACACTTTATCCACAAACCGTAAGTCACAGTAGATTTCTTAGAATCGTAAACATGCCACAGAAAATAGTTTCAGGTGTGCATGATAGAGCTCACGCATATGGAACAGAGCTAACACAACTGTTTCCTCTGACTTGGTTACGGATTCAAATTACCTTGTGTATCTGCGGATAGTTTAGTAGTTTATGAGTTATCTTGGAAAACAAAAACTTAATTCTTTCCCCCAAGAAAGAATAAAATAACAGAGCAGGGTGAGAAGAGGAATGTAAAGGAAGGGGGTTAAATTGCTGTGGGAGGAAAAAAAACATAAAAACACTTTACTTTTGAAAATAAAATAATATTCAGGAATACATGCACTATGAAACTCTCTGCCCCATGCTGTTTTTTGAAGCATGTTATGTGCCAAATAAAATTCTACTGCTTGCAACTTCATTGTGATTCTGAATGTTGTACCTCTAATACTACTTTATATGTAAAATACTTAACATTGGTGATAATTATTCGATACAGAGTGTATATCATGAAGCAGTTACTATTTAGCATATGATTATTTTTCTTATTTCTTAAGGGACCTCAAGAGATATTATTTATCATCCATTTTACAAATGAGGAAATTGGGGCACATGAAAGTTAAGTGATAACCCCACGAAAGCAGAGTTAGTGGAGGAGATAGGGCTCAAACACAGCAGTGCGTGGGTGTGCTCCTAAGCTTTGCAGTGTATTTAAAAGCCATTCTTTATGATCCAACACATCTCACTATTGGGCATTTATTCACAGGAAAGGAAATCAGTATATCCGAACCTCCATGCTCTTTGTGGCACTATTCACAATAGCCAAGATATGGAATCAGCCTAGATACCCAACAACAGAGGAATGGATAAATACGATGTGGTATATATACACAATGGAATACTATTTAGCAATTTAAAAATATGAAATTCTTTTATTCAAGTCAGCATGGATGGAACTGAAGGACATAATGTTAAATGAAATAAGCCAGGAATAGAAAATTAAACATTGCGTATTTTTATTCATATGTGGAAGCTATAAAAAGTGGATCTCGGCCGGGCGCGGTGGCTCAAGCCTGTCATCCCAGCACTTCGGGAGGCTGAGGCGGGCGGATCACGAGGTCAGGAGATCGGGATCATCCTGGCTAACACGATGAAACACGTCTTTACTAAAAATACAAAAATTAGCTGGGCGTGGTGGTGCGTGCCTGTAGTCCCAGCCACTCGGGAGGCTGAGGCAGGAGCATCGCTTGAACCAGGGAGTCGGAGGTTGCAGTGAGCCGAGATCGCGCCACTGCACTCCAGCCTGGGTGACAGAGCGAGACTCCGTCTCAACAACAACAACAACAACAACAACAACAACAACAAACAAAAACACGCGGTAAAAAGCAAGACAGAGGATGCTGAAGGCTGGGAAGGGTAGGGGTCAGGGAATAAGGAGAGATTTGCTAAGAGATACAAAATTGCAGCTAGATAAAAGGAATAAATTCTAGTGTACTATACCAGTGGTCCTCAACCCTTTTGGCACCAGGGACCGGTTTCATGCAGGCAATTTTTCCATGGAACCAGTGGCTAGAGGGTTGGGGATGGTTTGGGATGAAACTGTTCCAGTTCAGATCATCAGGCATTAGGTGCTCATAAGGAGTATGCAACCTAGATCCCTGGCACGTGCAGTTCACAACAGGGTTTGCACTCCTGTGAGAATCGAATACCGCCGCTGATCTGACAGAAGGTGGAGCTTAGGTGGTAATACTCTCTTGCCGACTGCTCACCTCCTGCTGCGCAGCCCAGTTCCTAAGAGGCCACGGACTGGTACTGGTGTGTGGCCTGAGAGGTGTGGACCGCACTCTAGGATGGCTCTTGTTAATAATGGTATAATTTCAAATAGGTAGAAAAAGGATATTTAATGTTTCCAACAAAAAAAAAAAATAAATGTTTGAGATGATGGCTATGCTAATTACCCTAATCTGATCACTACACATTATGTATATCAAAACGTTACTATGTACCCCATTAAAAAGATGCATATGTGCTAAAAAAAAAAAAAATTGTTTAAACAGTTAAAAGTGTTTAAAAACTTTTTTATTTTTGAGGCAGAATCTTGCTCTTGTTCCCCGGGCTGGAGTGCAATGGCGCGATCTCAGCTCACCGCAACCTCCACCTTCCAGGTTCAAGTGATTCTCCTGCCTCAGCCTCCCGCGTAGCTGGGATAACAGGCATGGGCCACCACGCCAGGCTTTTTTTTTTTTTAGTATTTTTAGTAGAGACGGGGTTTCTCCATGTTGGTCAGGCTGGTCTCGAACTCCTGACCTCAGGTGATCCGCCCACCTCGGCCTCCCAAAGTGCTGGGATTACAAGCGTGAGCCATCATGCCTAGCCTAAAAACAAGTTTTTAAAAAGAATTCCAAATCCATTTTAAGATAAAGTAATCCAGAATTGGGTATTGGTGATAGCTTTGGGTGAAGTAAGCCCTAACTTGAATCTCATCCCAAGGCTGTTATTCTGCAAACTTCACCTTGGCATGTTCTTCTTTAGGTTTAAGTTGGAAACAATGTCATGGACTTTCTGGAGGATTATCTGACCCTGTGTAACACAGAGACCAAAAAATCTAATGATAAACAGCTATCTTGTTAAATTCAACACATAAATTTCTAAATAATGTGAACATCTAAATGTATATGTGCATTACATAGAAATTAAATTTACATATGCATTAAATATTAAATATAGATTGACACTCTTACTATGTATGCTGTAACCTTGAGGAAGATCTTACCTTTTTTGTCCCTCAATCTCCTTATCTGTATATAGGATGGTTATACGAATTAAAAATTACAAATATATACACAATATAAATAATATGCTCGATACATAAAAATAGTGGTAGTAACGTGCTTAAACATCATAATGACTTGAGTAGTTGCTGTGTTAGGCTTTACTAACTAACCACAGTGAAGGTGGAGAAAGAGGGTGGCCCTCAGAAAGATATGTCCACATTCTTACCACCAGTATATGACCTTATTTGGAAAAAGGATCTTTAAAAATGTAACTGAGGACCTTGAGATCATATTGGGTTATCCAGGTGGGCTGACAAGTTTCATTAGAAGAGACACACGGCAGGAGAGAAACAGACAGAAAAAAAGGATGCAATGTGACTGCTGAGGCAGAGATTGGAGGGATACAGCCACAAGTCAAGGATGCCTACAGCCACTAGAAGCTGGAAGAGGCTAAGAACGGATTCTTCCAGAACTTTCAGGGGCAGCACAGCCTTGCCAACTTCTTGATTGTAAGCTTCCAGCCTCCAGAACTGTGAGAGAATAAAGTTATCTTTTGTTAGGCCACCGAGTTTATGGTCATTTGTTATGGCAGCTGTAGGAAACTAGTGTATTGGAGACGGCTTGTACAGAACTGCTATATCATAACAGAAAACGGAACAGAAAACTTTCTCAAAGCTGACTACCCCTCAGTCTCTTAATTAACAGGAACACACTGCATCTAGTTCACTTTAGCTCAAGCTAGGTAAATACGAGTTTGAAGCCACGGTGCTGTAAATCAGACAGCGACTGTCCACAATTTCTTACTAAGCCAGCCACTGAAACAAACTAGCCTACTATGGTCATTCCTGTTACATGTGACATTATTTAGAAAGTGATCTGAAATGCATATTCAAAAATTCTTATTTTACATTAATAAGAGTATTTCTGTCTTGCCAGAATAATTCAGTAGTGGTATCAGTTTCAAGGCTATTGATCATTTACCTGCAATGACCATATTTAGAAAAGCAATGAGCTCATTAGAGAAAACAAGGACTCCAATTTCATTAGGTATTAATGCTCAGGGGCACACTATTAGGTGGCTTGGTATTCACACTCAGTTAAGGTACGTGAGAATAGTGGCTGTAATTAACTAAACTTCTGTGTTAATATAGCACTTACGGGAGACACCCTTAAAGGTGCCTTTGTGTACAAAAGACAAGGTTAAAAATTATCATGTTTTTTATTATATTTAGGAATGCTCTCTGGTATCATTTATAGTCTTCATTTACTTATTCCTCTGTTGTAAAATGGCTTATTAGAAACTAAAAAGCAAGCAAATCTAAGTTCTTGAAAATTTTAAGACAGGGTTCTTAAAAAGCAGACTGATGTTTAAAATATTATACTTAACCTTTCTTAAAGGGTAAAAAATACAAATGTTAAGTAATAACTTTTAATCTGACAGAGTTGTCTGAAATAGAGTTGTCTAAAT